GGCGCGGGAGGCCGCCATGGAGCACGTGGCGGGCTACCTGCTGTGCTTGGACATGACGGCCAGGGACACGCAGGAGGAGTGCAAGAAGAAGGGGCTGCCCTGGACCTTGGCCAAGGGCTTCGGATCGTCGTGCCCGGTCAGCGACTTCGTGCCCAAGGAGGAGATCCCCGACCCTCACAAGCTGAAGATCTGGCTCAAGGTGAACGGGGAGCTGAGGCAGGAGGGGGAGACCTCCTCGATGATCTTCTCCATCCCTTACCTGATCAGCTACATCAGCGAAATATTCACCCTGGAAGAAGGGGACTTGATTCTGACGGGCTCTCCCAAAGGAGTTGGGTCTGTGCAGCCCGACGATGTGATAGAGGCCGGGATAACCAACGTCCTCTCCATGCGGTTCAAGGTGACGCAGCAAACGCGTGGCTCCTAACGGGGAGCTGGGCTGCGCAGGAGGAGGCTCTCCTGGGAGCATCTGGTGAACGGAGAGGCACAGAGCCTGTCCTGTACGTCGAGCGATTCCCCGAGCTGCACCGTGGAACTGTCGATGGAGACGGCGTGCCGGCCAGCCAGGGAGGGGAGCTGGGCTGGCTGTCCGCTGTGTGCTCTGCTGTCCTGCCGATGCTCTGAGCTTTGCCAGCGTATTGCCTTGAAGTAAAAATTTCAAATCAAACCATTGAAACGGTGATGTAGGAGCTAAAGCTCAGCCATGCTATGTAAAATCAAAGATGCGTGCGTAACAGTAAATCAACAATTACAGCTGCAGAACGAATTTCTCTCCTTGGGGTGTTCTACAACAAAAAGATGTTTGCTTTTTAGATTAGTTTCACGATTCCTCCGTGCGTTTTTCAAATGTACAAATTAAATGAGGATTGCTTTCCCTCCCTCTCCAAGGGGCGGAATGCGGTGGGAAGCGTGCCAGATGCTTGGCAGATTGTTTTTTCCTAAACTGAGCTTTAAATATACTTCTAAATGTAAAATAATACAAAAGATCAAGAATAAAGAAGCTCATTGGTAAAGATAACCGGTAAACTTGTCTTTACTTTTACCGATTTAAATATATTTTTAATAGAAATCTAACTGCAAAAGTACCATTACCTACATAACGCAGTGCAACAGTTGGAGTTTTTAAATATTTGCAGCTGTCAAAAAGCCTGGCTGTGTAACTTTTCCCGTCTCCGAACTCCAGCTGATCTAACGCTCCCTACCAGCCTGCGTGACAGCGAGTTCTCTTCCCAGTCGATGGAGTGATGAAGTTGTAAAATGTAATGAAGAAACCCCTTCCCCCTCACACATCAAAACTTACCGTTTTCGAAGGTTGCACAGAACTGACTCATTTCTAACAAAAACAGATGGACCATTTTTTTACGTACGTGCAAGCACCGAAGTTAAATGCTTCCACTTGTGGGAGCCAGATCCTGACCACCACTTTGTTCTCAAAAGTGCGTTTGGAGAGCCTTGCTGGGAAAGCGGCTGTGGCCCAGAGACAAGCACCTCTGTGCAAGAGCAGCGTGGTCCAGGAGACTGCAAATCACGCGGCAAAAAGAAAGCACAACATGTTGCGGAAGAAAAATAGCATTTTTTGTATGAATTTGCTTCTCCAGCTGCACACACCTGTAGCACAGCGCCGCGCGCCCCTGCGCCGGGTCCCGATCCTGCGAACGTGCGCACAGCTCGGTTCGCTGCATTTTGACTGAAACCAATGGCTTAAAGCACGTGTGGAAGTTCCTTGTATGATGAGTGGACATCATTAGGGTGAATGACTATGAAAGAGGAAGGATTACATTCACTTTCTGTACTGTTTGCTTTTCTTCGTGCCTGTCAAAGGGCACACCTATGGCAACAGCAGCAATGCATCATGTGTGGTTTGGTCTGTTTATCGATTGCTGAGCCGAGCTGCGATTAAAATTAAATAGAATTAAAATTAAAATTAACAGAAACGTTCACTTCAGCTTTTCCAGCCGGAACAGCCGATACTCTGAAGCCGTGGCTGCAACTGGAGAGACGCAGCGGCCCAACACCAGCGACATTTTTTGGTGCGTTTAGTCCCCCGTTCCCACTCATGTGAGTAGGGGGATGCAATCCTGGAATACTGCTTGTCAAAATCCACTGTTTCTGTAGTTGTTCTCTCTCTGCCACATTGCTTTAAGGGGTAGGTAGTGAACCAGGGGTGATCAGAGCTCCTCCAGGCATTCTAGCCTAACAAATATTTTGCAAGAGGAGGGCCGTGGTATCTTCCCACCGTTTGAAACAGGCCATCTCCTGATATGCTCAGGAGGTGAGGACCAGCGGATGCAGCAAATACACCAGCTGCAGGGGAAGCTAAGGACAGAAACAGATTAAAAAATAGGAAAAAATACATGGAGAAGGGCAAAATGTACATACCTAGGTTCTTTGCGTTCAGCTAACAACAGCTATCTTGGTGGAGTCCTTTCTTCTCTGCCCCTTACAGTCTTAGCCTGACTGGCTGGTTGTCAGAGGTCCCTGGTAATTGATTACTCCGTTCTAATTAGACTTCGTTTGCCCTAAAGAAAAGCAGCCTTGCAAACATCAGGGCTGTGTCCATGCAGGAAGTTCCATGTTGGAGTGACCAACATAAACCACAAACCCAGACAGTGTTTTGAAGTGGGTCTTTATTTTTTGAACTAACACGAAAGTAGCAAGGCAGTTAAAAACACAAAGCTCAACAGATCTGTCTTGTACTATTTGTTATTTCCGATTTTTAAAAATGTATTCTAAACCAAGTGAGGAAAGACTCCATCCCCTTTGCAAGGGGGACAGAACTAACTTTTCTTAAGCTGAGGCCCTAGTACACTTTTTAAAGTACAATCACCTGGAAAAGATCCACACAGAAGCCCACTTACAGGGCTTGGTAATGTATATTCCTTCTTTACCATCAGAACATGCTCAGCAAAATATGACAACAACATTCTACCTCTAACAACACAGTGACAAAACAGTCTTTTTCCTAGCTGTTATCAAGCCGTTTAGAGCAATCTCTTATTTGCAATCTCTTTTCCCCACAAGCTCTGACTGGCCTCTACAGGGTCTGCCAGTCTGCATGAAAGAAGACTCACTTTCAGTCCGGTTCTCCAGCTGGGTGACAAAGCGGCCTGTGAAAACAGAATCATAGAATACAGAAATAATTAATGGTCTTTGGTTTTACTGGTGTATAGCACTTGGAAATACATTATTTTCAAATATCACACAGCATATTTAATTGAAAAATTTGGTTATACATATTTTACATTACTCTGTACATGAGTACACACGTTTTATGCTATATACCTGCCACTACTGAATAAAACACTGCAATTTTTTTCCTGGAAATAGAGGCAGAGGGTGGGAGAGATGGGAGAGTAAGAAAGGTTTTGCTAGGAAGGGCAAAAAATGATTAAAAAACGGAGTCAGTTTAGAGTTGTGCTAGAACGGGCAGTTCTATGAAAAAGGAATCCAGTCGGTATACAACATGCAATCAAAAAAAGTAAAGGATACTGCAAATCATAGCAGATCTTTTAACAATTGCTCCAGGCGTGTGAAACTAATACTGTTGTTACTTTAAGGAGAATTGCAGATTTTAGCCATACCTAATCACATTATTTCCAAAAATACAGGTAGCTGAGAAATACACCTGGGTAACCCCATACAATCTGTTACACGTGTCGGCTGCGCCTTATTCTTGCAAACGGGTACCATTAACTTTATTCATTACAAGCCTACAGCCACAGAAGTCAGTGACCAAATCACGTATACACGCTTTGGAAATACCAGCCCCTTAATCAGCGTGGGCTGAGAGCAGTTTGTGCCTTCCATAGTTTGCCCGAAAGAGGCCTGCATGTATCTGATCCTGCAGGGACATCCCCTAGTGCTGAAATTATGACAAAGACTCTTTACTTGGAATATTCAGAGGATGTACAAAAATTAACCCTTATTTTTGAAAGTTCAGCAGATTTGACATGGAATTTTTCATTATTAAATATACTACTGAAGGAGAAACAGCCACTGCTTTAAATTAACATTAAATACTAACTTTAACATAAATCTTGCTTCGTTCCAGAAGAAGTTGCCATTTCAATGCAGTCGTCTTGTCGTCTGTTAGAGCGAGGAACTCAGGGACCTATTAGTAACAGGACATCACAGAACACTTCTTCAGCATATAGTTACAGCATCTCCACAACAAAATGTTGATGAAAAGAGCATCTTACGCATTTTTATGCATTTCTAAGCTGTATTTTTCTATTTTAATGTAGTGTTTGGTGTGATACATGTACTAAGACAGATTAATCAGAATAAATTGCAGGGTGTTTGAGAATGAAAGTTAGGGAGTTCCAACCATGTTCTCAGAAAAGTGTGAATTAATTAAGATAAAGCAGTATTCTGAATAGAGTATTCACTCTTAATTGGACATGTTTCTTCTTCTTAGCAGCTACTGACTTCTAACTTTTGACTTCTTAAAAAGCCGTGTGTGTGTATATATATCCATATGCACAGGTGGGTTTTTTACCCGGTATACACACACACACACACTTATATACAAAGAACATTTACATATATTTGTACTTTGCATCAGGCTTCACAGCTGAGATCAAAAGAAGAACAACCTAACTCATTTCCACTTACTGTGCAGCCTAATGTTTCCTCAGCTACACAGTCAGAGAGGTAACAAGAATAAAGAGTGCCAGTGTGATCCGTCAGGTCGACGAGTATGTCAAAGCTTGCAAAAGTTGACTTTGAACCCGGAGAGATGTCACTGCAGAAAGTGCATGTGTTTGACATTTCGTTCACGATAAAACGGCATATTGAACTGAAAAATAAGAAGATAGTTAATGCATATATGTAATTCCTCCGTGTCTGAAAATGTTTTCTAGACCGAGATTTCCTGAGAGACTCTTTCTCTTTAAAAGTAATTTTGCCTTCTACACTCTTAAGTCTGTCTGAGACAAAATGGCCTCTTTCTTCCTCTCTGCTCTAGGACCAGAAAGAGGAAGTCCCTCATAAAGCCAGCTCCTCTTCCTTGCTTCTTCTGGAAGTCTACACAACGGGAATTCACATGGCGTCCTCCAGAGGAGTTTTATTTCTTGACCAGAACTAGACTAAAATATTGTTCTATCTAATTTGGGTCAGGGGAAGAATGATAAGCACTTTTAAATACAAATTTAAAACATGCAGTTGCTTACCATCTGTTGCGAATAACTTTAGATGCATTATCATCAATGTCCAGTGTAGAAATGTAGCCATAAATAATGCCATAGACTGGTTCAAGTTTTCCATCATTCTGTAAAGCTTTTTCTTTCAGCTGTTCCACAGTATAAACATCAACTATAGTCTCCACTAGAAGTTTAAAAGACATGTTAAGTGTGTCTGAGAAAGACAACACAGAAGAGCAACAACAAAAATGGATCTTAAGGCAATAAAAAGGAGAGGATTTGATCT